GCAGCAGCAGATGTTTTGGGAAAACTTAAAAACAGCTCTAAAATCCTAGTCAGGGACGTTAAAGAATGAATATGTAATATATATACTCTGTAATTTTTTCCTTTGCCTCTTTGTCCGATCACTCATTTGCATCTCAAGAACAGAGATCTGACCTGCTGCAAATTCTGATCTGACCTACTGCAAATTCTAACACCCACTGTGAGATTATTTTCTTTTTGTAGCCTTAGTTCTGCATTGTTGTACTGGTTTGGACTGGAAGTGAGTTAATTTTCTTCATAGTTCCTTCTATGGTGTTGTGGTTTGTATTTGTGACCAAAACAGCCTCCATAGCACAGGGGTTTTTTTAGTTATTTCTGAACAGTGCTTTGCAAAGCATCAAGATCTTTTCTGTTTCTCATACTGTCCTGCCAGCAAGTTGGCTGGGGGTGCACCATAATTTGAGAGGGGACACAGTTGGGACAGCTGATCCCAGCTGACCAAAGGGATGTCCTGTGCCATAATCTCATGACCCATGACATCATGCTTGGCATTACAAGTTGTGGGAAAGAAAGAGCGAGGGATCTTTGGAGTTTTGGTGTTTGCTGTCCCAAGCCTTGCTTTCATGGCAATGGGTAGACATTTGCCAGCTCATGAGAAGTAGTGAATTAATTCCTTGTTTTGCTTTGCTCATGAGTGCAGCTTTTGCTTTACCTATTGAACTGTCTTCATCTCAACCCACAAATTTTCTCACTTCTACCCTTCAGATTCTCTCCCCTATTCCACTGCAGGGAGGGTGCGGGAGTGGTTTGTGATTCTGATCCATCTCCCGAGGTTAAAACACAATAGTTGTCTACATGTGTTAATCAGAAGTATTACCAAAAACTGTTTCATTTGAATATTTAATGATGAAGATTTGTTTAGATATGCAGCTGTGGTTTATATGTCTTTATCTTTGCAAAGATTTTAGGAGAGATCCTGCCTAACCGAAGGTTTTTCTGAATTCTTTGTATAAACCACTTCTAATTAAATGCTATAAAAGTAAATTCATGAAGCAAAACTCCTTTGACTTGCTCAAATGGAATTTAAACTGTTTTCAGCTATAATGTGAGTAGCACAAATATATATGTAGTCTTTGAACCCAATACCACTTTTCTCTCTATATTCAGCAGCCTTAACATAGGCACAAAATAAGGTCTTTCCTGTCTTTCTGGTCTCTCTGTAAAGGTAGTCCACAAAACCAGAGTGGTAGAGAGCATCCCACCTCAGACTTTGTGCTTGCTGGGGCCATGTTTCCTTGAAAAGTTTACTGGGACAAGGCCTCTAATTGCTGAAAAAGTGGAATAAATGGGAAACTCTGGCACCAGACTCTTCCTTCAGAGTTGATTTAAAAAGAAAGGGGTGTCTTTGGTGATATTTTCCTTGCAGCCACAGGAAATTTCAGATGAACCCTAAGAGCCTGAATATGGTAGGCCAGAGGAACAATTAACTTCTGGATGAGTTCAGGGCTTAGGTACAGTGTAGGACATTTCCAGTCATGTACAGAAGCAGGTCTTAAAAGGCTTCATATGGAAATACCTGCAACATTTGGCTGTATCTGTGATGAGATCATGTCCAAGTTAGTGTTTTTGTTGTTGTGTATTGATCTTAGGCATTTAATGTGGTATGAAAACTGTTCAAACCCCTCAATACTTGTAAGTGAGCTGGTACATTGCAAGTGTCCTCCTACAGCTGGTTACTGTCCTGTTATTGTTTTTAGAAAGTCCTCTACACAGCCAAAGTGACAGTGAGAGCAAAAATATCCCTGTCCTTTGCTAGCCATCAAGAAGGCTAGCACACATTCTTCCATTACACCTGCAACTGGGCAATTCTGACAGTGTCATGGAAATTAATAGTTTATTTACATGCATTTTTTCATTTGTGAATACAAGAATAACACATTATAAGAATTATTAACTTTGTTATTTCATCTAAGCTAGCACAGCCACCGTCTTTCTGTGTACTTAAGATTTGCTCTTTCTTTCATTTGAGTTTTTAAAGTGTATCATTTCCTATTTTTAGCATCTAAACCTAACCTTCATCTGTAGATGGCTTCACACAATCTCTGCTTTATTCTCATATATATATTAAAGTATAAGTTAAGCTAGTGTGTATCTCTGATTTCTAATAACAATGTGAAGATTCTTAAAATACTGACCATGTTTCCTCTGAGTTCAAAAGCCACTTCAGCTAGCTACTCCATTCATTCTAAGACATAAATCTAGTATTTTTTTTTCTAACTTGAGCTTCCCATTAGAAGCATCAATTTCTTTTAATCTATACTGTGGGAAAATAATATATGTTTTCGTATTTGATGCTGTACAGCCTTGCCATAATGCAAAAAGAGGTACTATCTTGCAAAAGAGTTTCTAGCACACCAGAGTTCCACCAAATGCTACTTTCTCTAGTCTCTTAAAATTAAGTACATAACATGCATATTTTTGTAGACAGATAAATATCCAACACTTTGAATTCTCACTAATAATTTGATTTCTCTTCTAGACCCAGTGAGTAATTAATGCCTCGGATGATAGCTTATAAGGACCAATTGCCAAACTACTAGGTAGCAGAGCCAGTCCAGAAGTTGTCCATAAAATACTTATGTGTTCCCACATAATCTGTTGATAAGGAAACTGAAAAGAAAATGCAACAATAGGTAAATCTTGGGGGTTTTTTTCTTAGTCAGAATCAAAGAAAAAGTTAAGAAAGGGTTAAATTTTTGAAATATCTTTTTTATTTCAAGTCTTGTACTTTATTTCCTTTTTTTTTTTTTTAATACGGGTAAGGTTAAAATTAAATATCTTCCTTACATATGATTAAAACAGGCTTCAAAAAATTAAGCCAAACTTTGCTTCCATTCAAGCATTTTTCTACAGATGCAACATCAGATCTGCAACTATTATTTTGTTTGCTAAAGGAAAAATTTTGTTTACTAACTAGTAGGAGAAGTGGAGGAGAAAAAGCACTTGTTCTGAAAGTGGATTATATAATTTTTGTTATTTCATTAAAGAGCAAAATCCACTGCATAGTCTCTCTAAAACTGCAATTTACATTCTTTAAAGTGTTCCTCTCATTATGAAAATTATTTCCTTATGTCTTAAAATCAAGAAGGAAAATATATATGCACTTTTCCTTGCTTGCTTGGGGTCTTAGATAAGATAAAGGCAAACAGAACTATCATCTTCCCTAAATATAATTGTTCCTTAATAATAATTGTTTTTCCATTTATTTAATGTGGCTGTCTCATACCTCCACTGCAGATCAAAACAAGAATTAGTAAGTAATCAGGCTATGTTTCAGAAAATACAAATCAAAAGCACACTTGTTACGGGGAGGGTATGGGCTACTTAACATCCCTTGCAAATCAGCTTTCTCAGGGCAGTATGGGCAAGTCTGGTTCTTGCCAACAATACACCAACTGCAGATGAAAGATTCATGAAACCCAGTATCAGGTGTATTGTTAAGGGAACTTTTAAATACAAAAAAGGCCCAGTGCTTACATCTGCAAACGTGGTCAAACCATGAACAGATAATTTTAATGGCTGAGTATGAATACTGTCTTGTTTTATAACCAAGCAGTTTCAAATTACTTAAAATATTTAGACTATTTAGAATTATTGTAAAGCTGAATCCAATGTCCTGAACAGCCAGACTGGTATTCAGATTTTCCAGCTAGCAGGAAGCCAGGATCCTTTTATGAAGTGCAGAAGGGGGTGATTAGTAACATTGTTCCAGCACATATGCGATACTTTTCATTTTAGTTTTTGGAACACAAAATGCCGAGTTGTTTGGTATCCCTGAGTATGAGTCACTGGGTCTTATGTCAGGCTGCAGGGTGTATATGTGCCATGGCTTGGAAGGGTTCCACATCTGCCTTAAAACTATCCAGCAAACACAGCCCCAGGCACAGCCAGGAGGGAGCCTGAATTAGCAGACCTGACTCATGGGTCAGCATGCCTGGTCCAACATTCTGCCAGGCAGACCCACAAAGGCTGTGCACCAAATACCTGGACGGAGGATTTAGGCCAAAAATCTGCATGGCCTCAACTTATATCAGAGAACTGTGTTTACTTCTGTGCTATGACAAAAGTATGCTATGCTTCTGAACGTGGTTTTGGTTCCTTTTTTTGTCATTATTACTTTTTAATGCAGCATAAAAGATGAGAAAACAGCATTTTCGTAATTACATACATGGAAAGGATATCCATGATTACAGGACAGCTGGTAGGTATTTTCAATGATCCCTTCTTTGTTTATATCCACAAAGTTTTTCTGCCCGCAGACTCTGCAGATGTCATTGCAAAAATTTCTTGTTGGTATGCCACTGGTGTTGTAAAACTGTCAAGATCAAATTTACAGGAAAAAAAGAAGCCAAAGAACAACAAAATATTTGCCTAGAGTCAAGGATGCATAAACATATTTCAACTGCCATCAAAGATAAGGACGGCATGAAAATGGCTACAGTTTTCTTAGTTGACTAGTGCCAGGATGCAGAGTTACCAAGGAATAATTAAAATGCTATTGCTGATGCAAGAACTTTTGCAACCATCTGCTTGAGGTTAAGCAACTGGACATAAGAGAATTATGCTGACATAATCACCTTACTTGGAAGATAGCAGCTATAAAAAGGAAAGGGCAAGAAGAATCTTACACAGACTTTGGGGAAGGAAAAGTTTGTCTTCTTACAGCTATTAGGAAAATTATGTAGCATCTTGCATGTAGGGATCTGCCTGCTGGAAACCCCAAATCAGGCCCTAGCATATGTTACTGGCTACTACATTCAAAGTGTTCTTCTAAATGTAAGATTGATGAGGGAGTTCAGCAGTTTGTCCATGGCAGAAGAACAGCTCTTCTCAAAGGAAAGAGATTTAGTTTACCACAAGAGTATCCAGTAGACCTTATTCTCATAACCCAGGGGCACAAGAGATTCAAGGGCTCACTTCCAGTTCTTGCAAGTGGTATTTGGGGCAAAGATCCTCAGCACTTACAGCAATGGTGGAAGCCATGTAGCCAGAACAAATCTCTGCAAAGTCTTATCCCATTACTCCCACAGTACAGTACATAAAAAAGCAGTGTCACACCAATATCCATGGAGTCACCAGACTCTTTTCTGTCTTAAAACTGTAAAAGACTACTCATGTGAGCCTGTTCTTTACCAAAACACCAGAACTTCTTAATACATCTAGATTTTTCTTTATGTCTGATTAGCAGCCCATGCAGAGCTGGTGTGCTGGACTCAGTTTGAGGTACTGTCTGACCAGAAATTCCAGGGATTCCTCAAGAGCATGTAGATCAACCTCATAATGCATCTGCTGTAAGCCCAACACTTCTTAGAGGTATTGCAAATACTGCACATATGTAAATCAGCTGTTTCTTTAAGTGTCAGATTTATTGCCCATACATTGTATAGTCAATTAATCCAAAAGTATGTAGCTCTGATGGAAAATTCTTGGCAGAGACTTCAGTTTTGAGTTACCAATACTGTTCAGCTTTATTCTGTTGAAATATGTTATTTAACCAGCTAAATCCCCCCACCAGTGTATTTTGAAGATATAACTACAAAATTTGTCAGCTCTAATTTAATGGGTCTTTGTGCCCTATAGCAGCAGAAATGGCAAGTCCCTTTTAATGCTGAGAAGCTCCAGTTTCATGAGTATTTGGTAGCCAGGTTTCAGTCTTCCAAGCCCTGTTACATGTAACTCTCTCAGAGAGCTTAGAAGAGATGTTAACATTTTTGCAGACTATATTGGGTTGGGGGGCTTGGGCACTAGGGGATTAAATACCACTTGCTGCATTTTAGCAAAAATTTTACTCTGAGGAATTTGTATCAAGGAGGACAATGGGCCCTTTCAGCTATAGAAACAATATTTCTTTGACTGGTATCTTACACCTTATTGAGACTTGGCTGATCTTGTTGCTTCTGTGAGAGAAATCTAATTGTTCTGTATGAGAAGACTTTAAGCAGAGTCCCTTTCTGTAAAAAAAATGTATCAGCTTGGACTACCTATAGCAAAGCTGAATTCAAAAGCTACTTCAGTATGAGGGCACTTGCTGCTGTAAAAGAAAATGAAAATAAGCCTGCAGTTTGAAGGAAGCAGAAGTTCACTGGAGTAAAAACCTTGAGCAATAGTAAAAACAAAAAGAGAAGAACACCCAAGCAACATTATAGCCTGATAAAGTGGGAAATCATGATTATCAGAAAGAATTATGAAGTGGTTTTGACATGAATGTACTTATTTATTTTTATCCACTATGTCAAAACTTTCTATGGCTCATCTCCTTCAGGTGCATAAATGGAGGACTGAGGATTAATTAGGGGATTAAATGAGTGAGCACAGTGGCTGTACAAAATTTAAGGGTTTTCCCCATCTCTCTTCACACCACAAACACAAGTTGTAAAATGATTAAATGACTAAAGATCAGTTATGCAACTAAAAAGAACAAGAAGTAGGAGAACATACAGCTACATAATGTAAAAGGGGGTTTCACATGTAGAGGTGGGTGGTGAACAGACCAGCCCATAGCAGTTGCCAATCTCTATTTTCCCTGAAGTTACCTACCTAAAGAATAAATTAAATCCAAACATGGTAAATATTATGGCTAGATAATCCACAATTCCAATTGTATAACCCAGTTCATAGACTGGGAGGAACCATTTGTAGACCAGCCTATGGATAGAAAAACAGAAAGACTGCCCATGACTCTGTGTATTTTGCAGGGTGGCACAGAATGCTGCATATGTAGTGTCTACCAAAATATTTATATAAGTTCAACAGAAGTTTTGCACTTCTGTATTTTTCCCTTACAGAAAGGTAAATAAAAACGTGTAATACAGGAAAAAGTATGGGGAAAACCCCCCACACCAAACCCATTTTGTTTTGCTTCAGTCTTCACAAGAAATGGTAATTGTGAACAGATTGCTAACATAACTCAAACTAACAGTTTGGAATTGTGAAGGAGGGAGACATAGGACAGAACAGGTGAAAAACAACTGAGGTAAGTAAAATATAGTCAAGCCAGTATACCACCAATCAAATTTATCTAAACCACTTAAGAGTTAGCAGAAGCAATCTCTGCACCATTAATGAGGTCTTTATGAGCCCAGGGTGGAGAGGCAGAGTTTCAGATGATTGGAGAAGGAAGAATACAGACCTCTCTTTAGGGATGCAAAGAGGGCTCTAAGGAATAAATTCAGACTATTTGGTATATATATCAAATCGATCTCTTCAGGCTCAATAACACCTAGGATGACTGCTGATGGTGAATCTGCAAAACGATAAAGCAAGATAGATTTGTAGAATCATCGCGGTTGGAAGAGACATTAAGATCGTCAAGTCCAACCTTCAACCTGTCACTCTACAGTAACCCCTAAACCCAAAACCATATCATCCAGTGCCAGATCCAGATACCTCTTAGACACTTCTAGGGATGGTGACTCCATCACCTCCCTGGGCAACCTATACCAGTGCCTGACCACCCTGAGAGTGAAAAAAGTTTTCCTAATATCTAATCTGAATCTCCCCTGTCTCAGCTTATGGTTGGAACTGATGGAATGAATTTAATTTTAAGTCTTGTTCAAGTCTTTTTCATTTGCATGTCATATTTGATAAACATATGTTTAGAGGAACTTACTCATACTGCAATTGGAAGATTCCTGCAAATTGTACAGCTAATAGCCTTTTTTGTAGTTTGTTCTAGGGAAATTTTTATTTGCTCTTCTTCTTTCCTTTAAGAAGCAAAACCAGAAGAACTCTAGAACAAGGCAAAACCAACAAAAAAGGATATACTGTGTTGTTGTTCCCAAGAGAGGCTTGTGGGCTGCTCTGAAACTGATGCAACAGTAATAATTGAGGGCATTCCTCACAAGGACAGCAATCTCCAATAGCAAAGGTTGATGGTGAAATAAAAGAGGAACAACCCACATCTGCAGCAGTGTGACTCACTGTTGGCAAAATTGAGACAGTCATTTCAGAGTAATGACAGACTGTGTTTCTATATTATATCGTTAGATTTAATTAACATTGTCAAACTGTAAAACTCAGACATAAAAAGTAACTTGTACAGCATCTTTGTCTCTAGAATCTTAGTCTGCCTTGCACCCTGGAAATAATTAGTAAACCCAATGCAGTAAATGGTTATAAGACTGATAGAACTCATCAGACCCCTCACATCCTATCCTCAAAAAAATAAATTGTCTATTGATAGAAATAATGCTACTGATAAAAGCAATTTTGTTCAAACTCAAATTATATATGATGACCACAGGACTAAAGCTTTGGGAGCAAGTTTTCTGAAATCAGTGGAGGCAGTTTGCACTCTAAGACTCGGAGCTGCTCTTATAAACATTCAGAAAGGAACATTTGGCTGCAGTACTTTGGGATGCTGCTTGGGTACATAACCACATTACTGAAGAATTTTCTTAAAAACTCTTTCTACAGCACAAAATTCTGTGGCTTAAACTTCTAAACCTTTCCTTTTTTCTAAATGAAATGGCATCAAGCTCAATATGTACTATTTGCCTAAATTGCCTACAGTGATTAAATATTCTACTTCTTTTCCAGTAAGCAAATACTTGAAACCCACTGAAGAGACAAAAGCCCTATAATGTCAGTTCTCTCTGCAATCACATTAATAAACTGTGGATTTGGGATTGTGGAAGCCTGATGATAACAAAGATAAAGCAAGACTGACTTCAGTATGCATTTGTAGAATTAGCTCCTGCATCTTTACAGAATGGTTACTAAAACTAAAAAAAAATCATTCTGAGGGGAGGTGGTTTTAAAATTTATGATCAGTTTGGTGCAGGGGGACTTTTTTAAAAGCAAAGAAAAAGCACAATTCACCTAGAGTAAAATGCTATTTCTATGAAAGATTAATCTCTTTCTTTAACTCCAAAATAGAATTCTGAAGGAATGTGTGTTACTCCCTGGGAAACTTAACAGAGTTTTGCCACAGATTTCAACTGAAGGAGGACACAATTCTTCTTTTCTTAAGAAAAAAGGAGAAACCCTTAAAAAAATCCCCCCAGACCCCAGAAAGCATGGAACTATTAAGCAAAGTATTGGTATTTCACCATATAATTTTAAATAAACTAACAGATAAAAACACCTGTACAAAATAATTACATATCATCAATGGATCACATCACTCTTAGACATTTCTCCACCCTGCAGCCCTGACTTTAGGGGACAGCAGTCTGCTGTGTGTGACCATAAAACTGACAGGGCTCCTGCTATGCCATGCAGCCCTTCTGGCATCCCACAGGTCTGTGACACCTACACATCCATGACTGCAGAGTCTGAGGTCTCTTAGCCTTCACCAGAGGCCACCAAAGGCTCCCGTTGCCTGTCTGCCTTGCTACTGTCCAATGTGTGATTCTTCTCCACCGTGCTTATGTAACATGGGTTGCTTTTTTCCAGTAGTCTGAAAGTACAGTCTGAATTTAAATGGCAAAGCCAAAACTGAATGGACACACATATCCAGTAAAGTGGCTACTTTTTAATACAAATATATAAAAGAATTTTGTGATCATGTTAGCTGCAAAATGAAATGAAATTAGAATTAATTTTTTTAATGGTAGTACGACCTCTTGGGTGATGCTGTTATCAGATCAATTGGTATATATTGTTTGCAGTAATTGTTTCCAATTTCCTTATTGATTTTTATGTCTTCCAGATTGTTAATTTTAATACTATTAGCCTCTAAATGAAATGCATGAGTATTTTGTCTTGTAAATGAGAACAAAGATAGGAATTGAGTCAAACAGATGCAAACCCCAGTATTGATTTATTATTAATACTGGAAGGTCACCATCTGGACAATTCCATAAAATAATACAACTGCATTGCTGCTAAATGGGGGCTTTAACATCTGGATCATATTATTCCAAATTTTCCTCATCCACCCATCATAGCAAGAGGAATTTCCTGACAAATTAGATTGCTGCCCAAAGGTAAAATGTTTTTCTCATTACTGTAGTTCAAATGAGCTCAAAAAGACCTAAAAGTGAAGTCAGCATCAGCGTCATAGACAACTTTCCCATTTTTTAATTATGCAGATTAAACAGGTCATACAAGCACCAACTGAAAAACGCCTATCTGTCCTCTGCTTCCCTCACAATGCTCCCCTCACTCTGAGCAAGTTAGAATGTCTATCACCAGCAAATTCAACAGAAGAGTATTATACTGCTATCCTTTCCATCTTATAGTAGATGGTGAAAAACTGTATACGTAAAGAAAATAACTGTGTAATAATTAGATTTATTGTAAGACATTGACCTTACCAGAACTTGTTAACTTGGCAATGCAAGCTAACTGGCTCCCTAAAAACCTAGCTTCTTTTGATGTAGGCATATTTAAATACTCAAAAACATATGCATGGAAGAAAGAATAAATCAGGCTGTTTGGGTTTTTTAAGGTTTAGTTAATATGCCTGTACTTGACAGTACATCGAAAATTGGCAGGGATTTCTACGTTAAGTAAATCAACCAACCTTATTTTCAAGATTTGCTTCATTACTTAGGTACAGAAATCAATGCTGCTTCATTTTTCAACTACATTCCCAAGTAAGTTCTTATTCCATGACTGCCACATGATACAAGTTATATAATCAGTAAAAGAGGCAGCCACCTAGGGTACCAGAAGTGAGGCTTTCATGTTTCATCTGCCTTTCTACCTCAGATTTTAAGGTTTCTATTATGCCAGGGGAGGATGACTTTGTTCGCATATATTGTATTAATTTAATTTTCACCAATGGAAAGCTTCCAACAGCAGGCAAATTGCATTAGAAGAATCAGCTGAGTAACTGATAGAATATCCATTGGGAAAATACAGAGTCAGAATATTAGTAAGATTTTTCCTTCCTTCCCCATCTGGTATGCTAGACTCCTGCCTTCATGTCAAGAAAAATGGGTAGGATAGGTAGTAGGATTTTCAAGGATTATAATTCTCTGACTAGCATTCTTTGCTGCCACCCCACAGCCCAGAGTACATAATACAGTTGCAGGCACATAATTGCCTGCACCTCAATGAGTGCAAAATCTGTGAGCAAAATGGAGAATTTATAGCACTATCTGAACACAGATGTAAACCTATTGAAAATCAGGTTTTTACAAGGTGAATTAGCAGAAAACAGGCTCCAAGTTTATTTTTTAAAATCTCATACACCCACCCCATTCCCCTCTGTACTAGGCTCACACCCATGTTACTTTATATGTGGCCATCTGGTGAAGGGCAATCTCTTCCCTCTTGCCAAAATTATCCACAGCTGAGCCTTGGTTGCTTTTCTGCAACTTTTTTAGCTCTGGCTGCTTTGAAATAGGAGCCTTCCCCAGCATGCCTTTTTTTTCAGGAGACGTTTTACATTCTTGATAAGCCTGGATAAGGCTCTTTTGGAAGGTACAGGCTGTTGCTGTTTCTCTTGCATCTAGTAAGTAGTTGCTGCTTTTTATTTTTTGTTCTTTTTGAGAAAGCTAATGAATGGCCTTTCCATTTAGGGCTGATTTTATGCTCCCTTTGACTTTCATTTCCTTTTTCTTTCAAAAAGAGACCAAACTTCTTTTTTACATGTTTGCAAAGCACTTTAAAGGGGAGGGTGGGAGTCAATCACTTCAATCCTTTGCTTTATTTCTACTAACAGGACTGTGCAATTCTCTCTAGGCTCTGACTATGTCTGAGAATTGCATGATTATCCAGAGCAGGGATGTATATACATGCAAATACCCACCATAACTTCAAAGATTCAGACAAAGGTTTGTCAGCTGATGCTGCCTTCCAAGCCATGCTATGCAATGGAGGGCTGGCTACTTGAGCTACTTGAGCTCTTGGGACAGAAAAAGTAAATAAAGCAGTTTTTGATCAGAGAAAAGGAGCCCTAGGTTTACCCCTCCCATTGAAAACAGCATGTTCTGCCTCTTCACCTGATGTCCTTTCTCTTGCTCTTAAAGATGCAAGCATGTTGTTACAGGCAGGAGAAAGTGTTTGGTTTCTTCTCTTCAGGATTAGACACCATTGTGTGTAACCTATATGTGAACTATACAGGCATAAGCCAAGCAGTCAACAGCTGGATGGCAAGTAAGAAAAATGTGTAAGCAAGCAGAAGTAGAGGGCTGGTTTCTCTTTAGTGAGCATGTGGTTGTTTTTCAGATTTTGACTTATTTAAATGTTTCCTACCAAATCAAACAAAAATTATATGCACATGAATGCAAACATAATAACTGCCACCTGGAAGAACTGTAATGCAGAAATCTAGACCTGTCTGTGCTTAGAGGAGCAGTACTTTTTTTTTCTGTTTATTTTCATCTCAAATGGACAATTTCCTGTATGCTTTAACTGAGTTGCTTAAATTCTAAAAGTGACCATCTTTACATTTTCTGCTCCTCAATCAGGTTTCCTTATCTGATGCAATGATGTATACTAGTTATATTTTCATTTATCTTAAATAAGGATCTCACTAATCATTTGACTTCGTATCTTAATGTTTGTCCTATTTGCTAGTCTTTGAACTACAGTGGACCAGATATTGGCAGTTACTATACTGGTAGAAATCTGTAACTTTAGCATTACTACATGACATGCTTTTAAAGGAAGCAAGCTCACGCAAGGAGATCAACAGTGTGTGAGAAAACTATACAGAAGTGTCTGGTTAGAAAACATGAGTGCAGTTACTACTTGACGCACAAACTTGGAAGTTGCTTTGGTGACAAACAGTCTTAACTAACATGAAATAAGTGCAATAAACCATCTACTGGCAGAGACCCACTGTGAGCAGTGTTTGCTATTATAAAGCAACTTCATACACAGATAGATGGTAGGTGTGAAAAGACTTTACTCTCCCAACTAAACAGACCGTGAAGCAGAACTGCCAAAGCTTAGTGCAAAGTGAACTTCAGCTTCTGGTTCTACTATTTTTACTGAACAAGGCTCTGCTTCAGTTCCTCTTTTACTGGAGTAGGAACCTTTGCTGCTGTCACGCAGCTATGAACTGAAAAGTGAGGCCCCAATATGTTTCTGGCCCAGATGTTTGCTTATTTTAAAATGCACTGCAGAAACACAAAACCCATCACAAAGTCTTATTGTAGTGTTGTGATTGTTATAGTTGTACTGAATCCTCCCTAAATTAGGCTAAACACATTTAAAAGTATATTTTTTCCACATTGCCTATGTCACTTAGTAGGTGTGACTGACTCCTGCAAACTAATGGTTGGGATTGAAGCTTCAATTGCTGAAGACAAAGTTACACATGTAATAGTACTGTCAGAATTGTAGGCTATAAGCATTTTTTTTGGAATGGTTACTTCTCTGTAGTAGACATTAACTAATTTTAAGTACTGCTAAGGAGAATAATGCCTGGAGGAGGCTCAGGAGAGACCTTATCACCCTCTACAACTACCTGAAAGGAGGTTGTAGTCAGGTGGGGGTTGGTCTCTTCTCACAGGCAACGAGCAATAGGACAAGAGGGCACAGACTCAAACTCTGCCAGGGGAGGTTTAGGTTGGATATTAGGAGGAAATATTTACAGAGAGAGTAATAGGGCATTGGAATGGGCTGCCCGGAGAGGTGATGGATTCACCATCCCTGGAGGTTTTCAAGATGAGACTGGATGTGGCGCTTAATGCCATGGTCTAATAACCATGATAGGGTTGGACTTGATGATCTTGGAGGTCTTTTCCAATCTGGTTGATTTTATAATTCTAAGGCAACACAGAGTGCATGGTTTTTAGAATCCTACAGGCTTTCTCAGGCAGACAGGGACCTTCCCAGCTGCTCATCACTGTATGCAAACTTAGAGTTCCAGTGTGTTTCAGCACTGATTTGATACCACTTTTTTGCATAATATTTTCACTGGAAAAAAAAAGACATGGACAGCCTGAGTGACTTCAGTCACTTTAGTGTTGTATTCTTTATTCTAAATATCCATCAAAATCAGCAAAGGAAATATTAATAGGAAAAAAAAATACTTGAAAAGCTCTGAACTGAAAAGCAAACATGAACATAAAATGATTGAATCATAGAGCAGACTGATCTAGAAGGGAAGTTAAAGAACATAATGGTAAAGTAGTATCATATATGACTATACTATACGTACTCAGGTATTGTGTGTGCTCAGGAGTGTGTGTGTGTAAAAGTAGAGAGTTAGTGACACAAAGCTAAAATCCTCAATGAGCTGCACTATCTGTGATTTCATTAGATACTTCACTTGTACATGACAAACACTTCATCGCTGTTCCTAACTCTGGAAGGTACAACTGAAGAGCCTGTTTCACAACCTCTGCAATGCAATTTGATGTCACTGTGAAACTCCACTAACTGTAAAGCTGTCATAGATCAGGCTAGTTTTATATCTTGTACTAAAACTGTTTCTGTAAATTGTATCAAGGTTTAATGCTTTAGTATTTATCAGACCTGTCAAATCAGGGGGTATGATGCTTCAGAATCTGAGATCCAATTGCCAAGATATAGAGTATCGATCATGGAAGTTACTGATGTGACCATAATTAGGAAGTTCAGTTACCAAAAAATGCATTTCAGTGGCCTAGGACACTCATCAGCTGCTGAAGATGGAAAAATGAAGAAGCTGCTTGTATGTTTAAATTCTGCTTGTGTGAAATACCTGTGAAATCCCCATTATTTGTTTATTTCCTTAAAATTCACAAATTGGTTTTTAAGGACTGGTCCTTTCTGAGATGCCTTACTTTTAAAAAAAAAATCTTGTGAATAGCGAAGTCAATGATGGAAATCATGTTACTCTAGTTTTCTCAGGTTTGCAGAGAAGTCTGTGGTAGGGGGAAGGAAGTGAGCTGAAGCACCCTAAGCCCAAGTTTTAGCACCTGGAATACAAAAGAAGTTTCCTCCTTAATCAGTTATGTACCAGAGTAACTTTATGAATAGAGGCCTTCGATTCTTTCAGTAAACCCTCTGTAGCAATACTTCAGCAAGATAAGGGTAGTGACTTTGTTCTTGTACTTAGTCCATTATTAGATAGTTGTTTGAAAACTCCAACTCTCTTTCTTAAAAGCTTTAACCTACTGAAGACTGACAACAGCATCAGTACAAATACACATAAAATAAAATACAAGTTGGTTTTTTTCTTCCTATATAAAATCTATTCTCCACCTGACCAAAAGACCTTGCTGCTTTTCACAGAGGCTCAGTTGTCTTGCGAGGTGTAAACCCTGAAAACTGTCATGGGTCTCAACTGTAACCTGAGAAAGATGTTGTCTTAACCACTAGAGCTCCAAAACTACCCTTTCTGACAAGCTACTCACATTGCAAGACCAACAGTGGCTTTGTTTCCACTGAACAAGAACAACCTGGGCAACAGCCAAGGCTGAAATGAGGACAATAACCATCTCCACAGGCATTGATTCACAGCTATGGGGCATTGCATGTATCTTCCAATGTTTCAATCCAAAATGGAAAAACCCCATGCTATTAAAAAAAAAAAGTCTAGACTGATGTTATACCTGGAGGTGATAGTTCCTCTATGTATGAGATACTTTAAGAGGAACTGGGTTAGTGTTTTTATGTATGAAGATATAAGGTAAGAAATTAGTTAAAACTATTTGGTCTTTGTAACTGGAACTGTTATCCTTAAAAAAAAGAAATGTGGAGTAAAGTAATGGGCAGAGAGACTTCTTTTTTTCTTTCTTCCTTTTGTTTTCCGTTTCTTTTTCTTCTAGTAACTCAGTCCTGAACATGAATACAGCCACAAATACATAAAGCCTATGAATTTCAAACAGATATTTCATATGACAGACCTGAGCCCTGCATAATCTTTTAGTCCAAGGTAAATGTGAACTCAGAAGAGGGCTGAAACCCCTGCTTCTGCTTCCTTCCCTATAAAGTGAGAATTGTAGCTGTTATTTATCTTTCTTCTACAGTTAATAAAATTTTCCTTGAACCCTTAAGGAAGGAGGGGATTGTCTTAGAGCTACCAATCAGTCTCCTTCATATCTAAAGCTGAGCAAGCTTCTGTGTTAGGTCAGATCCTCATGGCCTTGTAGTAAGAATCTTGTTCTTCATCTGAGCTCGACTCAAATTAACTTGGATTTTCCTCTAACCTGGAGCTTCCTGGGCCTACATTTCAAGACTCAACAGCACCTCCTGACTTCCAGATCTGTATATGCACTGAGTGCACCCCAGCTGCACCCTGAAATGAAGCTAAAGAGACAGACATGCACTGCTCCCCCTTCCCCTTCCATGCTATGGTCCATGTGAGGAGAAACATCATGAGCGTATCTGGAAGGGAGTGGCAACATGTTCTGTTTGATTCTCATCCTGGATTCTTTTCAGATCAAGACCTTATGTCATGGTGTCATGTTAGGCCACAGCTACTTTGTTCAGATGGAGCCAGGGTTAAAACAGTTGGGATCCAGATGTGAGCAAGGAGCTATGCAAAAGCCCAAAGCCATTCTTTGCTGCTCTTAGTTGCTATCCCATGTTAGCCAAACTAAGAATCCAGGTAAAACTTTTGACTTTGCACAAATCTGGATGTAGGTTTTATACATGTGGCTCTTTCCCATTCCTTCTTCAGAAGCAACAGTGCAACAGTGGCCACAGCAGCTTTTTTCCATTTGAAAGGAAATGGCTAGATGATGGGTGCTGAGCCTGGATGTTGCAACACTGAAGTGGGTACCAATACCAGCGCCAAACATCTCTTTCCCATCTTTATGGAGGTACCACAGAATATCCCATCTTCTCTGCAGACAGTGCTTGCACTAAGCATCTCTCCCCAGCCGGAGGTGTCCCTCAGGCAGCAATCAAGGCTGCCCCCTTACGGGGAGTGCACTGGCGCGGCAAGCCCAGCGCCTGAGACAGAGTAATTAACACACTAAGTCATTAAGTAACTAGCAAAAGGTAAGGCAGCAACAGGGAGATAACAAGCTTTTCCTCCACACGTTTGTTCCCCTGTCCCCCCTGGCGAAGCAGGCATTAAAAAGATAGTTAAAGGACCATTTCTTTATGTTAGACTTGCAAGGGCAGAAAGCATTGTATTTATTGTGCCTAAAAGAGAACACTGTGCTACAACACCAATCTCCATAATGATCACTGTAAAGTTCTGTGGGACTGATTAAATTGGCATAATGAAAAGTTCCAGTAAATCTTTTCAAGAAAAGAAAATTCTTTACTAACTACATGTCTGTGAACAAAAAGTTAAATATTTCTGGTATTTCTGTATCTAAACATTCTGGAATGTACAATTCATTTACCAAAACATTTGCAAGTGATATGTAAATGAACTTACTTCCGTTGTCCCTCTGTTGATAATAAATCACTTTCCTGAAACACATTCAAAACAAATATTATAACTTCACATTGAACATTCTTCTCTTCATCCTCACCACCCCTGCCATCCTGTGAGCTGCTGGATGTGTTGGTAAGTCCCCGTGTCCCTCTTGCCTGGAAATTGCTTGGAAACTTGAAGGTTACACAGAGAATAGTGGTCAGGCAATTTTGATTGTGGTGATTTATGATGGGTACAACTAACAAATTCCTTGGCAGTTATCTGGACCAACCTCCAGTGCAAAGCAGAATGAAGGATGTCAGGTTGCTCAGGGCTGAGTCCAGCTGCATCAATAATGTCTTCATGGAAGGATATATCACTGCTTCTCTGGTCCTCCTGTGGCAGAAAATTCTCTTTTTCTTCTTCAATACATAAGGGCAAAATGTCTCCTAGACTTAATCAATAAGGTCTAGGTCTGATATTTCAGCTACTCTAATTGGACAGCTGTACAGTTACACCATATAAACCCTGTGGTATAGCTCACAAAAAAAAAGGCTGAAAAAACAGACTTTGAGTATTCAATGAAGTCTAAAGTAGTTCTTCTGGTTCCAAACTGAGTTCTATCAGAGAAGCTTATTATGAAAAATGGTACTTAGTTCTTGTTTTTCCTTCAAAATCTTCCAATTATGTAAATGCCTATAAATTTTCTATAAAAAATCTAAAACTTAGGGGGATAAATTTATCTGATTTTTACAAATGTTTGCTGTGTTTCAGTCCACATGTGGTGGTTGTTTTTGTTGATATGACTTGAAGTGTAGAGGTGGCACTTTATGTTGTTTTTTGGCATGTACCTTTAGCCCTATGGGTGATGTGCCCTCGCATTTTGCTCCTGAGTACTGAGGGTTATGCGATAGTTTTGCCATCTGCCTGAAAGAACTGTATGGCACTTCATGCTTGTCTCAGGGAGAAACACAGAATGCAAGTGAACTTTCACTTGGGGAAAGTCATGCCCTTTCAGAAGGATTTAAGCATCAAAAGGTACAGCTGCATCTAGCAGAAACTTCAAAGCCATCTACATATCCTGCTGCCATTCTGCTTCCTCAGCTCCTTTTGCTGTTCTGCTCCTGATCTTGTATCTTTGAAGGTCATGAGGGTCAAATCAAAGGAACAAGGGAAAACACTAAACTTTTGCAGAGTCAAGTCAAGGTGGTGACAATCTAAGTCAGCAAATAGGGTAAAACAGAGACTTGCATTTGTAGTTCAAATGTATGGTAATGTACCTTTACACAAATACTGGATTACACATCTGCAAACCCTAATCTCATTAGAGCTGAATTAAATTGCAACAACTACATTGTATAGCTCAAAGTAGAGAGGTGTTTCAATTCACACTGCATTATTTATTTATTTACCAGCTAGGAAGTTATAGAGAACTTGTGGATTCTGACAATGCATTCATATCTTGCTAATCGAACCTGATTTATGTTGTTAGTATGCTATAAAACTGCAAATACCATTGGGTGAGTTTAGATCCCACTTTTCTCAACACTGTACACAGTAACATTTTGACTCTGTAGCAAGCTAGGGACGGGTTAAGAGGCTACTGGGCCTTAAGAATAAAATTAGTTTTGTTTCAAAACCAGCAAGCCATTTGCTAGCATTTCATCATATTGTATAGTATACTTCTTTCCAACTTATTTAAGTGAAGAAGTTATACAAAATATTTTTTTGTTGTTTGGTTGTTTTGTTGCTTAGTGGGGTATTTTTACCCAACACATGCTGATAATGACACTTTGTCTTCACATATCTATGTATGCCAGAATTTGAATGTAGTGGTGATTAAAAAATGGAAACAAAATTATAGTCCATGTGTTGTTTTTAATTTAATTTTGGGTAATGCACAGCCAAATTAATCCTAGCATCTCCAGACTTCCCTTTTTAACCTCCAATTGTTTTATTCCTCCCCTATGGTGACGACAATGGCTTGGTGATGAGGGCTGCCCTGTACTAGGTGGGTGTGCTGCACGAGGTAAAGACCAGAGCAGGAGGTGAAGGCTCATCACAACAAGGCAGCTAGGATGGTCTTTGTTGGTAGGGCAAAGAACTGGACAGGAGGGCCTAAGGAAAGTACTGTAAGATGTTGCTACCTGGGTGCTGCAGTCCGAGGTGCAGGGTTTGGGAAAAGGCAGAACAAAAGTACTGTATAAAAGGAAGCATGGTGGAGTATAATGATAGTGACCATGGAGAAATACAATGTATAGAGGCAAATACCACACAGCAGCACGGTGTGTGGTAACCTTGAGGAACCCTGGCCATGAAGGCTGGATACACAATGAAGGGCCAAGCATTGGGGTCTGCTGTGTGGCAGAGGAGCAAGGGAGAATGTTGTGGGTGCTGGCAATGGGGAGAGGACAGTGAATCCTGTTTTATTGTGTAGATAGACTCAGGTATCTAAAAAGTTTATCTGGCTCCCAGGAAAAGAGCAATTAAAAGATTTGGACCCAGCTAAGAACTGTAACCATCATTGTGTAATGGATGATCAGCAAATGTATGGTCATGGGCATGACTTGTCCTCAACAGTGTCCTCTCAGTAGTGGCAAACTGGCAAAAAAAGTATTTGCTATAAATGCTAACCTCTCTTCTAAACACTGCCTGTCTATCAGCAGACACAGATAAAGACTAGATGTCATTTGTGCAGTCAGGGCCCCTCTTCTGGCTGCCACCTAAAAAGCACTTGCTAAGGAGGTGTAAATTAATGTTATGCACCTAAAACTGGACAGAACAGGACAGGAAAAGGACACTGCCTTAAAGATTGGGCAGAATGGCTTTTAAATGAGTAGAAGAATATTTTCTTGTTACAACCCCAGTGAATCCCTGTTTATTTACACTGGGGCAAAATAAAAAACTTCAGAATGGACAAGCAGATGTCCTGATGTGCACTTTGAAGTTTCTCAGTTGGATGACTGAGACTTTTCGGAGTCTTTTAGTCTGAAAAAAAGATTTCTACAAATACACCTGGTCATTATCATTGATTTCATCTTTTTTGCAGTGTTGTATTAATTTTCCGGTGTTTATTGTGTCTTGTTTGAAACTAGATTGCAGGGTCATTGGGGGAAGGCCCATGGGTTCTTATGTATGCTTTAGCCACTAAGCACTCAA